GTATTGCGTCATCGCGTTCCTCGGCTCCGAACGCCGCCACCGTTCCTCTCTCGCGCCGCTCCTCGCGGTTCGCCACACCATCGCTCCCGATCACCCGGCCACTCCGGTCCATCGCCTCGTCATCGCGAATCGTCTCGCCGTTTCGGGCCGGTTCGCCGCCCCGGACCTTCTTGTCGCTCCGACTCACCCCGCCGTCCTCTCTTGACGGGGGTGCGTCCGATATTTCGCCCGTTATATGAGGCCTTCACACTTTTCGCCTACATATTTTTATATTAATTTTATTTTTATTTTTTATATTGATTTTATTATCACATGAGCTTTTGTTTAATTTCAACTTCTTTTATTTTGAACTGCTTGTAACTTGAAGATTACCGGTGTCTCGAAATGTTAGGTAAACAAAACTTTATGAGAATTTCCGTGTCTGCACGTCTGCATCTCCTTAATCTTTCCCAACCCTTTTCGTATGAAGTAAAGGGTGGAACGGTCTTGTTGTAGAATTCGTGGAGGAAACGGATTTCGCGCATAAGTCTCGAAGTGGAGCGGAGAATTCCGCCTTTGTGACGGAAAGAGTCAGTGGGTTCAAAGTAGTGACGGGGAGCTTTTAAGGGAGTGGGAGCTTTAAGCTCGCTCGGGGACGATCATTTTTAATCACGCGCACACGACCGTATGAAAGGGAACGTGGATGCGCATATGTGTTTTGCACGCGTTATATACATACATATACATATACAGGGTGTCAGACTTGTTTGTAGCCAAACTCAAAATTACGGTAGATTGGGTTTAAACTGAGAAGAAAAGTCATGTGCAAAATTAGCAATAGTTATCGTGTAATTGATAAAAACGTCTGGCCGAATGAGCGCACAAGGAGCGGAAGGCCGGACCTGGCATACTCGTCACTCGATATACGAGTATATTGTATAAACATGTATAGGGGAAACTAGGCAAATATGTCCCACAATTTATTGAAGTGAAATAAAATATGATCATATCAAATAATTAGATATGATCAATTCAAGTAGCCAGTCTTATTCTTTGATAGAATTCCGTTAAATAAAACATAACTTCTTTTCCAAAATATAACAAAAAATAAATAAAATTTCTTTAAAAAAAACGAGGGTGGGACACATTAAACTGATGAATCCTTCTAATGTGTTCCACTGACCTAAAGTATATGTTTTGACACGTTAATTTAGGTTGCATGTTTTTTTAGGCCAATGCATTATTCTATCTGTATTTTTAATTTAAAATAAAGTGTTTAGTATTGTGTTTTGTTTCATACAAATTTCTCAAAACCTACCTTTAGAACAGTTTTTTGTATTAAAACCGGCTTATTGTTTACATCACGGCACACACTGCTATTGTCTTGTCTAAGAACATATTGAAACTAACTTTGATGTGGAATGCCCTTGTAACACGTGAAAAAATCGATTTTTTTATTTAATAAACTTTAATACATGTGGAAAATATGTTTTTAAAGTTACAGATCGATATTTGGCCTCTAAGTATAGTTATAGTCGAATTTTCGATCGCGCGTCGAGTAGGAGGTCATGCGGTTCGTCTTCCCGCTCCGCTCGTGACGTAATAAACAGCTCTGCAGGTATATGTCCAACGATTTTCTTTTGAATTTGTTGGTATGCGTATACCTGCGCGTGAATGAATGTATCGGCACGTCGAGAATATAATGGGTACACGGCTTCGAAATTTGAAGAAGAAAAGAAGAGTCGGGTGGAAGAGGAAAATTGACAGGCGAGTTGGTAAAAAGAAAAACGAACTACTATATTTTTGCGGATTAACAATTCGTCGAAATGTTGATTCCGTCAATAATTATATGAAGATTCTTTTGGCTGTTTACACGAGAAACTCCCCCTTTTAATACTTGGTTTTGTTAGTGTCCACGAAGAATGTACCTCTCTGTTATTTTTTCTACTTTGAGATGCAGAACGAAACCAATTTCAAGGCTTGCCGTGATTTGCTTCTTTGAGCGAGGATCGCAATTGCTATTCAAGATAAATATCGAGGATAGTGTCACGGGTCCGAGAGACGATGTTAGCGAAACAGTTAAACCGGATTAATCTCAAACACCGTAGAACAGGTAGGATCTCCTGTTTTAGAGAGGATTGCAAAACTGACAAGTCGTTTCTTTAACGCGCTCGAAAGAAGCTGGTGCCTCCTCTTGATGGCTTCGGCAAGCGGTAGAAATACTTCATTACGATGAAAGCTTCTCCCGAGTCTCTTCTTCTCCTCCCTCTCGCCCCTCCGTTCTCTCGTGTGTTTATACACTCTCTAGTCCTCTTTCGTTTCGCTCTCTTTGTAAACTTCTCTCTCGAGGGTGTTTGCATCGCATGCGTGCGTTTTTACACTACAATGTCGGAGGTAGTTTTAGAGGGGAAGATTGAAGCGGAGATGGAATCCCATTGCACATAATCTTTGTGTGGCAAAAGTGTCAAAATTTTGTTAGATGAGAGAGAGAGAGAGAGAGAAGTGGGGGGGGAGGGTCAATACTTTTGCAATAATTTCATCGTTAATATCGTTCACAGACATATTAATATAAAAATATTACCTGGAATATATCCTATCTGTGAAGCAAATTGTCTGTATATGAGCTACTAACTCGTAATTAAAGTTATATGCGCATTAATTACCGCACGTGGTTCTTATTGCCTTTCTTATTACCTCGTTGTATTATATTTACGAGAGTGTCTAAATTACCATTGTTAATATCTTTATCAATGATTAATTATCTTCAAACATAGAAATCTCTTTAAGTCGCCAGTAATAAATAACAATAATCAAGCTTTTTAGTCGACATTAACCGGCCTAACCACCGTACCTGAAGCTGAGCGCCGCGCGCTTGGTTACGGTTGTTAGATGACTGGAGTAGGGGGTAATAGGCGGTGCCTCGCGAAAATCGGCCAAAATGAGCAGTTCGTGGACAGCTCTGGTTTACGCCATCTTTTTATTTTGACTTCTCTATCTCGCGATCGGAATTGCTATTATCCTCAGAAGGTTTGAGCCATCAGCTCGAGTGGAATCTTGAAGACGAAAGGGAAAGGGGTAAGGTTCGCACAAGCAACTTGCAAAACGGGAACGTTACATCGAGGTCCAATAACTAGATTAGCTGTAAGCGTTTCCCGACAGGGCACTCACTTTAAAGAACCACTCTCTCTTCCTCTCTTGTGCTACTCCCTTTAGGATCCACCCCTAAACATCCTCTGGGTGTCGTGAAACGTGGTAAATTGCCGACTCGAAAGATAAACGCGTGGATCGCCATCTACTAATTGATGCAATAAAATCGGATGCTGTTTTATCGCGTTTTCGGATCGGAATTATTTTAGGCACGAAGAATATATCCCGGCGAGAAGTGTGCGTGTTTAAATTTCTCTGCCTTGAGCGAGTTTCAATTAAAAAATTTAAAATCTTTTTAAATTCACATTAACAAAAACCAAGAAGCTTTAAAAATGTGCAAGAATCTATAAATTAAGAGATTATAACACTTTAAAGTTTCAACATTTCAAAGTTTTAAAAATGATTGCTTTTAAGAATCCAATATCCAGTACGTAAAATTCGATCAGCTTTCGAAAAAATCTTCCAAGCACATTCTTATTTCATTATAGTGAAATATTTCCTTCGCTGTTTTTTGAGAATTCTTGTGGCTAGTCAGAGTATTCACGTAACCAGTTGAAAAATAAGATGACATTCTTCCGGATACCTTTGTGCCCGGGAAAAAAAGTGAAAGCTATCGCGCTCGCCCGTTAAATTCCGAATCACCGAATCGGGAATGCGCTCCGGAACTTTTTGTCGCCCTGCGTGGGAATTTCGCAACAGCGGACAAGGGAGGAAAGGGACGAAATCTGTGAGTGCTGCAACGAAGTGGATGTGTATCATCCAAAAATATGCTTGGCGGCAAAAGAGCGACGGGAAAGTGTCGCGTCGACAAAAAGGAAACGTGGAGGAAGAAGTATGGGAGAATAAGGATGGCTTGGGAACTGGGAGGGAATAAAAGCAGGGGAATGGAAAATGGAAAGGGGTGGTACAGGTTCGAGCGTGCGCATCATTTTTACCGAGAAGGAGGAGAGAGAAGAGAAGGAGGAGGAGGAAGAGGAGGAGACGCTTCCCTTATTTGACGTCGCCGGGGAAACGAAAAATGGGAGATAGACGATGCGAGGCGAGGAAGAAAATGACGAATAAAGGAGCTCGAGGGAGTTGCGGAAGGTCCTTTGTCGACTGGGGTATTTAACGGAAATACTAGACGGAATATCTTCGTCGACGCTAAATCACGCGGACGTGTGTACCAAGTCCTTCATAAAGGAAGCGACGCGAAATAATATGTCGCGACAAAATGATAGGCTCGATTGTGCAAGAAATAATTCTCGCTGCGTTGAACCTTTTTTTCAAGTTATGAATAAAAATTATTGAAAAAAATAGAAATTTCTTCTTCGTGTATTTGCCTGTATGTGCTACTTTGTATGGCGCAGAGAAATGTGCGCTGCTTAGTAAGCAAATGAACGAGAAGATCCGAGTTCAAATCCACCCACGGATACCGCTGGTTTTTTCGGACACTATCTCTCGATCGGAGAGAAGTGGCAGCTATCGATAGTGTTTTGCTACACATATACCCCTGTCCTCCGAAAACAGGGTTCGCGAGAGGCTAACAACTAGGGCTGTTACTTTTGATAACTTCGAAGATTTGAAGCTTCGAAAGAATTCAGAAGTAATTACCTATCTTTTAACATATATAAATCAATACCTTTTATTGGCAATATTTTTAACGTCCTTTGAATTAATTCACCACTCGCACGAATATATTTTTCGAAGCTTCGAAGCTTCAACCCTTCACCGTAAAAACTCACTGTTGCGAATACATACAATAAGTCTCGGATGGGGATAATTTGTTGTGAAGACCAGGGCCCACTTGGGGCTGTAGAGCCAGTTATGGTGATGATAATGTGCTACTTTGGTTTGTGGAAACAGGGAAGAAATTCGTTTCGTTTTGCACATACCGAGCCTCTTGGAGATTTCGCTGTTATGCATTTTTGGATTCTCTTGCGCAATCTTCCGTCGTTGTAATCGCGACCAGACCATGAAAGCATTCATCGGTCGTTTGATGTGTTCCACCTGCATTTTTTTCCCTGCCGCACTGAGTGAACTACCCCCTGCGAGACCGCCCATGTGACCGATATTACTCGGTGACGACGTAGGCTGTCCTATCCCCGAAATTCTGAGACCCTCGAAGGGGCCGTCGCACATGTTGTGGCCGCCGGCTCTGTAATCAAAGATATACATCACTTATCTCTCTCTCTCTCTCTCTCTCTCTCTCTCTCTCTCTCTCTCTCTCTCTCTCTTTATTTTTCTTCCTAACATTTCTAAAAATTATCTTTCTGATAAAGTTTAAAATTTCTTTTGCAAAGCGAAATATTAAGGATTAGTATTACTTCTATCGAATTAATATCAATTAGTATAGTTCTTCCAAATAATGTGTATTAATCCAAATAATGTGTGTAATCAGCAATTTATTCACTTTTTACACATTTTAACATATGCATTTTAAACACATTCTTTTAAATATCGGTTTTTGAAGAAGTAATTTACTTCTTTCCTCGAAATAATTTATGCACGAGAATATAATGTATAAAACATTTATAATTATGACAAGAAGAAATATGGTAATATATTGCCGGTAGTTAATTAACGAAATAAAGGATTATTAGACGACTTTAGACTGGCAGGTGTTTTATTTAACTTCCTCCGACGTTTTGACCATCCGTGTTGTGATCCGTTTCAAAGAAATAAATATTACTTTTACGGGGCACATAGGACTACTGTGGTCGTCACGTCGGATGGACGTGCCTTCCAACATATGTGTAGGTAGTTTCTCCGACTGACGCCCAGAGATGAATGTTAACGCTTTTTAACATATTAACGATGACGAAGTAATATTTATTTCCTTGAAAAGGATCACAACCCGGATGGTCGCAACGTCGGAACAAGTTAAATAAAACACCTGCCAGTCTAAATTCGTCTAATAATCCTTTATTTCGTCATTTATAATTATGAGTACATGTCTAATAATTTAATCATTTCTGGTTACTGTATCCAATAATTGAGTAATAACAGACAAGGACATATAAATTCTCAACAAAGTATTTTTTCAGTGTTTCGATTAAATTCATTGCATAGTCACTCTCTAGTGTAGTAGTAACTATTGCAAAAATTGCAAAATGGTAGAGGACTTTCCGACTCACAGTCAGTTTGGTCCGCTTTATCTACACAAAAAATAAGCCCCAAACAGTCACTGACGCCCTGTATATTTTAAAATCTTGTTGGAAATTTTACTTTTGGATTATTCTTCAGAACTCCGTTGTTCAACCTCTTGCAATTCGTTATTTTGACATTAAATTTCGATGTGACGATTCTTATATGACACACCGAAAAAAGATTCTTACATCTTAACTGTAGGTTTTTCTTATGTACACGTAACATTAATATTTTAAATTCTATAACACACTGAAGATGACCTGATTATAGGTTGAAACGTATGTATTATTTTTATAAATAGAAGTTCTTAACACGTACACAACACACACACAAACACACACACACTAGTTCGTTAGTTCCTTTGTATGTTATTTTAAGATATATTTTATCTGAATAATATTACACAAAATTTCAAATTTTAATCGACCTCAGCTGGCCACATTTATTGAATAACGCCATTTCGACCTTTGGTTTAGGTCCTTTTCAAATGAGATCTTGTTACGGAGTTTGTTAAATGACAACCGCTCGCCAAATTGTGGCTGAAATTTCATGTTGGAGCACTATTAGCCAACGATCGGTGGATCTCAAATGTATCGTCATAAATTCTTCGTAGGGAGTCGAATGGGACGAGAGTGAGCTCTTTTCGCGGCACATAATTGCTTATTTGTTTGCTTTCAGATTCGTAAGCAAATTAATCTTATCCTTCTCTTCGTATCAAAGCCATTAACCAATCTCGGCACGTTCCGCGCTCTCTAGCTCTTCTCACTCCAACTTCCCATCCTAACTTCGCGAAGTAATACAATTATCGCACTGAATCTCCTTGAGCGTTCGTTAAAAAAAACCTGTAGTGGTCGGGGGAGGATTTATAAAAAGAGGAGGAGCGGTAGTTACGAGCTCGTAGGGTCAGGATCATCCCCTGTGCGGAGGAGAAGGGACAACGAGAGAGTGAGTACCACCCTCGAGTGTCATTCAGGGTGGATTAATAGATACGTCGGTTAGTTGAAGTTCCAAGGGGTGGAACAACCACCCTGTCATCATGGTGTTTGGGGTGCTCTTTGAGACTACTCCCTCTTCTCTCTCTTTCTCTCTCTCTCTCTCTCTCTCTCTCTCTCTCTCTCTCTCTCTCTCTCTCTCTCTCTCTCTCTCTCTCTCTCTAAGAGAGCAAGAGAGTAACTCACTGAGATCGAGAAGATGCTGGAAGTAATGGCTGTTGACAACGAACGCCGGGGAGAGATTAGGAAGTGCTAATTGAATGTTTAGACATGGGTCACCAAGAATATTGAGGATATACAGCAAGCTGCAATTCATTGCCATTTCTATTAATATTGTTTAACCTTTTCAAATTTTTGCATTATGAACAATTAAAAATTCTTGTCGCACTTCACAATACGCGCACAGCCACGGCGGTGAAAGATATTAAATTCAATGTAATCACGATATTTGCTGTTACTTATATCTATCGAGAAGTATTAAGTGTTAACTTATTCGAGAAGTATTAAGTGTTAACTTATTCAAGAAGTTTAAGTGTTTAACTTATTTAAATTTAAAAACAAATTTACCACGAGGAATCTTATGTTATTTATTGAAATGTTTTTCTTAAATAATTTTGAATGAAGTCCTTAATTTCGTGATAATTAAGGTGATTAAATACTTATCGAATTTAGATGAATGATTAAAAACTTCAGTTTTTTAAATAATTAATTAATAAATAGACGCAATGTAAGGGCAATAAGAGTCAGACGCTGGATATTGAGTGCGGATATAACAATCTTTCGTGTCTTGTTTAATTGAAATTGACTATATCAAAGAGTGCAGAAATGTGAAGACTTACATGCTATGAAAATTAAGTGTCGGTGTTTGAAACTGGAGAACATTGCTCGATAGATGACGGGGTACGACTGACTAAAGTATTAGTCGGTTGGTATAATTAAAAACAAGTAAAAGTCACGAGAATAATCAAACGTTTCGACCAATTCATGTAGTCCTTCTCAATAACAACATTAAGGTTTGTTGACCGTATCTGGCAATTTTAATGCTTTAAGTATCGCTACGTTTCGACCATGGGTTTTGGTCCTTTTCAAGCGACCAGACTGTATAAATAAGAGAATTGACAATTTTATATAAATAAATTAAATACATTGGAGATATTATGTTCACTGTTACAAATGTTGGAGACGTTACCAGTGGTGGTCGTGTACATAGATCCGCGTGTATTTCGGTGAAGTACAATTGATTTTTAATTATGATCACATACTAAATATGAGAGTGTTAGAAAGAGAGAAGAGTGCAGAAATTTTGATTGTAATTAATGTGAAGACTTACATGCTGTGAAAATTAAGTGTCGGTGTTTGAAAACCGGAGAACATTGCTCGATAGATGACGGTGTTTGAAACCGGAGAACATTGCTCGGTAGATGACGGGGTACGACTGACTAAAGTATTAGTCGGTTAATATAATTAAAAACAAGTAAAAGTCACGAGAGAGAGAGAGAGAGAGAGAGAATAAGTCAAAATAATAAATAAATCATTACTGTCTAAACCACGGATGTGTGCGCTGTGATCATCGTGATATACTCTCAGATGTATGGACACATGGATCCTGCTCGTTGCTCGAATTCAAAGAACCGATTTATAATTAATTGACGAACATTACGTATAAGACTTATTGCTACCACAATAATTTGTATCCGTAAATGCTTGTCTCTTAAACTAACCTGAAGAGGACTGCGATCTGCAGTCGAAACGTCGTGACAAATTAAATACATTGCCAGTTATGTCGAAACAATTGATTGATTATTGATTATAATAAATAAAGAGTGGGGTCAAGATTTAAGTTAAGTCTATTATGTGGTCGTAAATAGCGTTGAGATTTTCTGTGTCTTTTTGTAAATTAATAGTTTCATTAGTCATTTTTAGGAAAACTATTTTTGCTATCTCTCTCCTTCTTGTATTGCTCTCTCGGTGTAAGATATGGGGATTTGACCCATCGAAATCGTGACCAAGAGATGTACGATGCTTGCTAACAACGAAGTGGTTGTCAGCATGTTTTTTGATGTCGTTGGACTGTTCTTTTAGTCTAGTTTTAAGATGTCGTTTGGTCTGTCTTATATATAATATAAGGAGTCACAATTTTTGCAGTCAATCTTGTAGACAACTTCAACCTTTTGTTCGTTGGTCAAGGCGTCTTTTTCGTTTTCTATTATGCAGTTGAGTTTTTTTCGGTATAGTCAGTAATGTGTTGATACCAACTTTGCGTAGTTTGTGGGAGACATTCTCACTAATTCCCTTGATGTATGGAAATCTTTTGTGTGTCCGTGGGTCGAAAAAATCTTAGGCAGGTCATTATTGTTAATTTGGAGTTTGATTTGTTTGAGTCTAAATTTGATATGTTTGTCTATGAGAGGTGTGGGGAAGCAATTGCTTGTTAAAATATTTTTGACTATTTGAATATTGTCCTGGTGATAACGACTGTCGGAAAGGATTATTGCTCTGTCTACTAGATTCGTGATTCTGTTGACTTTATATTTTAGAGGATGGTTTGAAAAAAAGTTTACGTATCTTCCTGAAAAGGTAGGTTTTCTGTACCAATTTGTTATTAAGTATCCATCATTTCTCAGGACAGTGGCGTCCAAGAAATTGATGGAATTATTAATTTCTGTCTCAATAACAATCAACATTTGAAAATAAACGAAAAAGAAACTTATCATGTCGGCAAATTAACATAAGTTATAGCGGGGATTAGACCGTCGTGAGACAGATTAGTTTTACCTTACTGGTGACTCGTCATTGCGATAGTAATCCTGCTCAGTACGAGAGGAACCGTAGGTTCAGATATTTGGTTCACACGGTCGAGCGGCCGATGGTGACGAGCGGTAGCCATGAGATTATGTCTGAACGCCTGTAAGGCCGTATCCTCTCTAGTCAAAGGTGGAAATGATATCTCTAGGAGTCTTGTGAGTCGAAAGGCTCAAAACAATGTGACACTACTAGGCGGCCGGTCCACGGATCGGTCGTCGCATGCGCTCGGTTTGCCGTCCGGCGCCATCGCCATTCGTCGGGCGATGACACGGTGTCTAACAGTCAAACATGAGTTCCGCGAGTTCAATGTCGAGACTCGGAATTATCTGTAGACAACTTAGGAATTTTTCTTTAATACATTTTTTCTATGTGTTCAATGTTAATCCACTGATTGACGTGTCAAGAATTTGTGAGGTGTCCTGGAAGGATAGAGATTAGGGTTGGTTAGGTAACCCTTGATAATTGCATGAGCTATTTTCTTTATATTTATACTCGAATCTGACCATCCTTGCAAATCCTTCATATCCTTTGAATTAATTCACCACTCGCACGAATACATTTTTCGAAGCATCGAAGCTTCGAAAATTTCGAAAGTTCGAATGCCGAAGCCTTCACCGTAAAAACTCTCTGTTGCGAATACATACAATAAGCCTCAGATGAGGATAATTTGTTGTGAAGTCCAGGACCCACTTGGGGCTGTAGAGCCGGTTATGATGATAACAATGTGCTACTTTGGTTTGTGGAAACAGGGAAGAAATTCGTTTCGTTTTGCATATACCGAACGGAAGTAGTAATAACCGAGAATACCTACCCTGCTACACCTAAGTGTGTGGGAGGGGCATAAATACCCTTTTAGGGTATAGTCCTCACAGAGTGGGAGGGCTTTCGTCGGTAAGGTTAACAGCCTACGTGCTCAAAGTACCATTTCGTTCCAGTACAGAATAAACTGGATAAAACAGGCTTCTGGTATTACAGCCATATTTCAATCAATCAATTTCTTCACTTTTGCCTTTCGGCGTCAAAGTGGACTTTGGCTTACATGTATTGATATCCTCGGTCCTTACTTTTTTATATCCTCCTTCTTTCGTTTATAATAATTACTCTTAATTACCACCCATTCACCTGCATATCATATATTATAACTATCCCATTCTGTTTATCTCCTTTTACCTCTCTCTCCTCTCTTGCTCTTTCTCCCTCTTCTTCTGTCTTTATTTTCTTTATCTTTTCATTCCATTCTTCTATTCAATCTATTCCTTTGCCTTCATCTCCTATTAAATCTTCTATATCTTTTTCCCACTTCTTCATCTCCTCACACCTTCCTGTCATATGTTCTAATACTTCTATTTCTTTTTTACATAATAACACATTCTCTCCTCTTCTTTCATCCAATATTTATTCCCTGCCTCTTCGTTTTCTAATCTAAATCTCGCTATCGCTCTTATTTTTTCCCCTCCTCTTCTATTCTTCGCTGCTTGCTTTATATACCTGGGTATTCCTATTACTCTAATATATTTATACCCCTCCTATAGCCATATTTCTTTATAACCAATAAATATCAAAGAAAATATCACAAGTAAAATTTATTTCCGAGTATTTCGACATTTTTCTTTATTCAAAATAATGTATTTTTCTTACCTCATATAGCCGGCGGACCGATGCAATTCTAGCTCAATTTTGTTGCCGTGGTTGAGACTCTCGTCTCGCAACGTGTTGTGTCCAATAAACAACCACTAAGAAAACTAGAGGACAATATTGAAAGATCGTCACTGCACTACTCGATCTGTCTTGCACATAGTAATGAGAACAGGTTCCGCGTTTCACTATCACCTCACTCCAGGTCCAGTCCCTTATCACGCTAAGTATAAGTGTAGCTCGAACCGTACACCCGTGTTTTTTTTTTACATGGTAGAAATCCCTTCGGATACCCAACTCTTCGGGGGAAGAGGCGGATTATGTTGCGCAGAGTTAACTTTCTAAAACCACCACGATAGCCTCTCCGAAATTTTGGACTTGTGGGATCAAGCCAATCTAGGCAACTTTTCCCACAAGTCCTCTCATTAGTCCCAGCCTCATACTTTATAATACGTCGTTGACATTCGTTCCCTCTCTATTCGCGCTATGAAGATCGCGAAACACGTGTTACCTGAATTCGATACCTCAGCCGATTTTGATTTTTTGAACGAATAAAATCGCGAACGGACCTCCGGATAAGGAAGTTCCGGAACGTTAGCCTCCGCAACTGCAACTCCAGACGACTCCAAACTGCCTGGATATTCTGAGCGAGCGTACATTCCCCCACTTCTCTACATAGAGACGGAGGGAGAGTATAAACCGGTCGCGCAGGGTGGTGCCCGCGAGAACGTATCGGAGACTCCGATCCGAGAGACTCCGCCTCCGTATCTCACATAACATTTAATGTTGGTGGTTACTTTTTATATTCCGTTATTTGTTGTTCCTTTCCTCTGTATTTTGTTTTTTCAATTTTCATTACAAGTTATACTTTTCTTTGCACAGAACAGTCTCTTACTGAGCGACAATTATTTCAATGTTGTAAAATAATTCTCTGACTTGTGTCTGATAGTTAATTTCTGCAAAAGTGAAAAAATTGGTAATCGTTAAAAGTCCAAAATATCTAACATATCCAAATTCTGCCATTTTCCGCTATCCCTAAGTATGTTTTTTTATTAACAATTTATAAACAAATTCGTTTTTCTCCACAAATACAATGAATTTCGAAATTTTTGTAGAGATCAAAGTTGTAGAGCAGACAAATATCTACAAAAAATGTTTCTATTAGTTTTTCGAAATATCTCATATTATTTGAGATATTTGCAACGTGGCCTAGTAGCTCTAAATATCTCAAATAATATGAGATATTTCGAAAAACTAATAGAAACATTTTTTGTAGATATTTGTCTGCTCTACAACTTTGATCTCTACAAAAATTTCGAAATTCATTGTATTTGTGGAGAAAAACGAATTTGTTTATAAATTGTTAATAAAAAAACATACTTAGGGATAGCGGAAAATGGCGGAATTTGGATATGTTACTCAGTATATTTTTCTGGCCACAATGATGTAATAAAACATGTTGCAATTTTTTCTAGATACCTCTCCTTTTTTCCGTATGTTGACTGGACTATTCTGACACTTCCTTCTTGCAATGTGTAAAATATATTTGTACATGTACTTTTACATAACATGTTTTTATTAAACGTTATTAAATAGTAAAAATTATTTTGGAACGTAATCCACACAGTATACTTTATTTGAAATATTCTGAGGAATTCTAAATTGTTTCAGACTGTTAAATATATTTTTCCTGAAAGTTTTGTAAACAGTCTTTGATATTTCGACTACATACATTGTATAAATACTACGTTAAAAATCAATTTGAATGTTACTTGAATCAGATATTATGTGCAATGTACGAGGTGTGTTCAAAAAGTTACGGGAATTTTGTAATTTCGCGGGTTGTATTAGTCCGATTTGCGCGATTTTTTCGTTGTTGTGTTGGTAAACATGTCTGAAAAGTATCTGTACATTGTTAGCCATATCGGATATTTAGTCTGTTGTCAGCTGTCAAAAAGATCAGGTTGTACATTTGTTTTGGTACGATCGGTGATTATTTCTTTGTTTAAAAAATGGATCAGAGAATTTGCATTAAATTTTGCTACAAGAATGGAATAAAGTGCAGCAATGTTTTAGAAATGTTAAATATTGCTTTTGGTGAGTCTGCTATGAGTAAAACAAGGGTCTACGAGTGATATACGCATTTCGAAGAAGCTTGACAAGTGCGGTCGAATGTGAAGATTATGTGTTCTTCGATTTTAACGGCATAGTGCACCATAAGTTCTTGCCACAAGGTCAAACGATCAATAAGGAGTACTACCTGCAAGTTCAACGCCATTTGCGTGAACCAATCCGAAAAAACGCTCGGATTTGTGGCGAAACAATTCATGGCTTTTACACCGCGATAATGCACCTGCTCACACTTGCTTGTTCGTGAATTTTTAGCCAAAAACAACACTGTAATGATGCCCCAGCCTCCATATTCGCCAGATATGGCCCCGTGTGCCATTTCCTGTTCTCAAAAATAAAGAGAACTTTAAATGGCCGCCGTTTGGAAAGCATAGATGAGATTAAGAGCGCATCGCTGAGAGAGCTAAACGCCATCTCAAAGATCGAGTTCCATAAGTGTTTCGGAGATTGGAAAAAGCGCTGGCATAAGTGTATAATATCTAAGGGGAATTATTTTGAAGGGAATAACATTGTTGTAGACCAATAAATAAAATTCTTTCCAAAAAACAAAAATTCCCGGTACTTTTTGAACACACCTCGTATTTACATATATTCATTTATCTATATATATATATATATTTACATAATAATACACAAAATAATACACAAATAAACTACAAAAGTGAGATGAGGAAACAATATACCTACATATTACTAACATTATTGTATCAACATTTTAAAATAATATTGCTACAACATTACTAAAGTAATATTGTAAAATAATGTTTCTGCAATATCTATGCAACATTACACTGCAATATGCAATGTTGCAATGTTGTAACAATGTTGCAATGTTGCAACAATGTTGTTGCAAGCTTTTGTGTTGTATGGGTGGTTTCTTCAATTCTGGTCCGCCATATTGAGTCTGCCATTTTGTCCGCAAAAATTTTACGCCAAATTTTTGTAAAAGAAAAACATTTGTACTCTAAAGGATTCAGAGATGTAATTTGCTGAACATTCTCGATAAAAATACGATCCAAAATCTACAAACTTAAATTTTATATACTTAAATTTTGTATAACATATAAACGTGCTAAAGGATCTGTTATTTACATCATTTACGTTGTGCCAATGCATCGTTTCTGATTTGTTATTTTTAAGAATATAAAAAGCGCAATTCTGAATTGGTTGTTCTGCTAAATGGCAAAGGTATAATAACGGCGTTATGCGAAGTGGCGTCGACTGCGAGCATATTTATGGAGCAATATTTTTCATATGGACACTCGATTCCATTCTTTATGGCCTATTGATTGTCTCTTGTTTATTTCCAAGTACCAATAAGGGCACTTCGTCGAAGGGGATGATCGAGTTTGGATATCGCCTCGTCACTAATACGATCGATTTGTCAGCGCTACGCTTTCTTTCCGTCTCTTTCGTCCAAAGAGTACGCGAATCTAATTGATAACACTAATAACAATTCGTTCTTGCGATGTATGCTAGGTATTCAAAAATGAAATTCGTAAATTAAACATTTTAATATTAGTTCATAGTTTTTATCTAGCTACTATATTTTCCTGGGATCCCGTGGTTAGTCTCAAACTTAATCTCGTGTTTTGGCAGAGGTATTTTCAGTAAATTTAAATATATATTTCTTTAATTATGTTAATGAAATTATGTTAATGAAAATATATCTTTATAATAATCAACTAATTAGATTAATTAGGATGTGCAGTGCAAGATCATATTATTTTACTTTTTAATGCCGAGTCATTTCACTCGAGCGTTGCCTCTAAACTAATTAACCGGAAGTGTCGCTCGAAGTCCAGAAGGACACGAAGGGCGCGCGGGCTGTTTATCCCGTAGGAGATTTATTCCCTCGGTGCGACTAAGACACGCGCGTGCTCTACCGTACCCCGGCCGCGCGTATTGTCGCACGCGTCGCCGAACACGTAGCGTATGAATATCTAATGCACCCTGTCCACAATTAAATTCGGACAATATGTTTTGTTTCGGGAGGGGCCGAAGCGCGGCCACCCTCGAGGCCGTTTGAAGGGTTCCCGACGCTCAACGGGGGCAGAGGGTTCTTCACCCCAACCGAGATTTACACTCGGGGCGAGTCTTTGGCTGAATAACGCCCCGGGTGTAAATCTCGGCTGCGCGAGAAGGATATGCCGTGACAGGCGATAATTTCTCCCGATTAGAGTGATGCCTGCGGTTCCCCGAGAACAAATCCCTGTCGGTATCTTATTCGGATAAAGATGATAACGCGTAATGAAATATTTGCCGAAAAGATAAGAAGAATCAGACTGAATGGTTAAACAAGTGTGTTCCGGATAAATGAAGGAAATTTAGCTGAAAGAAAAAAATTAAACTCGGAAACTTAATTTAATTAAAGTGGTATTAATATTAATTACATGAAAATTTACAACTGTTAATTAAATAATTAAGTACGAGAGAAAAAGAGACGAAAATAAAGTCTTACTTTAAATTCATTTCAATTTTATTATTGGAATTAATGTTTACACGCGAAAAAACGAGATTTTTTAAAAAATCAATAGATTTTAAATGTGAGTCCGCTTAGATAACGGCATTACACCGCCTAGTTACCTTATGGTAGATAATCCAGAATAGCACAGAACTGTCTTTTTCCTAAAAAATGAAGAACAGTACAAGACCGCCTTCGAGAACGTTTCGAGACCGCCTTAGAGAATGGTGCGAGACCGCCTGAGAAAACGGTCCAAGACCGCCTGAAAGAACGGTGCAAAACCGCCTAAGAGAATTTATTTCTCCCTTTTTTCACACTAACTCGAATACTCTTAGTACCAATTAATTCGTTTTCTTTTTACTACTACACCGTTGCTAAGATAAATAATTTGAATTGAAAGTCAAAAAGATATCGCCAGTGCCTCACTCGTTCTTCCTCAGAGTTAAATATCGCTTATTGCTTCGAGACTACGCGTGAGTTTTTTAAACTCTATTCGATCTTTCAACAAAGTGACATGCAGGTAGTTGATCGAAAGAAGAAATAAAATTAACGACAATTCAGTTTCAGGTCCGAGTAAGATGTAACTCTATGATTTTAATGTAATGTAAATTCATATACCGTTTTTCCAACCTGTCCTGCGCGTCGTTACTTTCTGACATATAACAGTTTCATTAGATGGAACATTGTCGTCAGCAAATTCACATATTTTAAATCGATAAATAAATAATTTCTAATTATTGTAAAATACTTTACTTAGCATTCAATACAATGTTGGGCGGGGATAAAGTTATTAAAAAATTGCTATTTAGTGGAATATTGATCGGAAATTGTATATATGTGTCAATCTTGATTAGAATTACCGGGAATTTTTTCAAATATAATAATTTTCAACGCGTTTTACTACTTTAGAGGGGAGTTGTCGTGCTATTGCGATAGATTCAATAGATTGCAATAGAAAAACTGCAATAGATTTGCAAAGTTAGCACTGCATTTTTCAATTTTTATTTTTTAATACAAGGAATGCAGGACTCTTTTTCATTTTTGTCAGGAACTGTAGAACTATGAAAGCGTTATTAGTACTCTTAGTATTTTTTTTATATTCGTAGAAGATCGTGCCAGCTTCACAGACGCTCTTCACATTCCGATTTGTCTTGTGTTATCTTTTGATCCAGAAGTATTTACAGAATTTTTTAGCATAACTTGAAATTATTTTTAATACTCTAGCA